TTTTTTATCTTGCTCCTCTAGCTCTTTCAATTTTAATGTTAGGTGTCAATTTTAGGTCTTTCCTCACTTCTCATGTGGGCATTTATTGCTATAAATTTCCCTCTAGACACTGCTTCAAATGTGTCCCATAGATTCTGGTATATTGTGTCTTCGTTCTCATTGGTTTTGAAGAACGTATTTATTTCTGTCTTCATTTCATTGTTTATCCAGTTGACAGTCAGGAGCTAGTTGTTCAGTTTCCATGCAGTTGTGTGGTTCTGAGTTAGTCTCTTAATCCTGAGTTCTAATTTGATTGCACTGAGGTCTGAGAGACTGTTATGACTTCTGTTCTTTTATATTTGCTAAGGAGAGATTTACTTCCAATTATGTGGTCAATTTTAAAGCAAATGTGATGTGCGATGTGGTGCTGAGAAGAATGTATGTTCTGTGGATTTGGAGTGGAGAGTTCTGTAGATGTATGTTAGGTCCTCTTGTTCCAGATCTGTGTTCAAGTCCTGGATACCCTTGATTTTCTGTCTTGTTGATCAGTCTAATATTGACAGTGGAGTGTTAAAGTCTCCCACTATTATGGTGCAAGAGTCTAAGTCTCTTTGTAGGTCATTAAGAACTTGCTTTATGTATCTGGGTGCTCCTGTATCGGATGCATATATATTTAGGATAGTTAGCTCTTTTTGTTGCATTGATCCTTTTATCATTATGTAACGCTCTTCTTTGTCTCTTTTGATCTTTGTTGGTTTAAAGTCTGTTTTATCAGAGATTAGGATTGCTACCCCTGCTTTTTTTTGCTCTCCATTTGCTTGGTAAATCTTCTTCCATCCCTTTATTTTGAGTCTATGTGTGTCTTTGCACGTGAGATGGGTCTCCTGAATACAGCACACCAATGGGTCTTGACTTTTTATCCAGTTTGCCAGTCTGTGTCTTTTGACTGGGGCATTTAGGCTGTTTACCTTTAACATTAATATTGTTATGTGTGAATTTGATTCTGCCATTTTGTTATTGGCACATTGTTTTGCCCGTTAGTTGTTGCAGTTTCTTCATTGCGTCATTGGTCTTTACCATTTGGTAAGTTTCTGCAGTGGCTGGTACTGGTTGTTCCTTTCTGTGTTTAGTGCTTACTTCAGGAGATCTTGTGAGGCAGGTCTGGTGGCAATGAAATCTCTCAGCAATTGCTTGTCTGTAAAGGATTTTATTTCTCCTTCACTTATGAAGCTTAGTTTGGCTGGATATGAAATTCTGGGTTGAAAGTTTTTTTCTTTAAGGATGTTGAATATTGATCCCCACTCTCTTCTGGCTTGTAGGAACCCAAAGTATTTTCTAAACCACTGTCTTGGCATTTCTATCTGTAAATAAAAAATTAAGAATAATGACTTTGAATATTGGCAAGATGTCACCAATGAAGAAATACTGATTGTTCTTGGAGAATGAAAAAGGCTTTGCATGCCATAAGCCACTGTAGTTCTTCTATATAAGCCACAATTGTTCTTATGTGAGATAATGAAAATCCTCTGGTAAGGTACCTTCAAACTGGAATACACGTTTCCTTAGACATGCTGCCTTGCATTATGCCATCATTCTGATACCTTGCGTCACCACTGGAGGGGTGTAGCCTCTCCCAAGCCTTCCCCAAACATCTTGGTCAGCCTCTTGAGTGGCAGCACACACCTTGAGAGTTTAGCAGAGCATTTTGAAGCTTTGGTTCCATCCTTCCCAAAAGTTCTCTTGGTCCACTCTTTTTCAGGAACCTTACCTTATGTGGATAGCTCACTTTATGCAACAGATATGCTATTGGGAGTGGACAATACATTTTTTTGTGCGTGAACAGAATTCTGTGTTACACACATAGGAGGAGCTCACTATATCAACAACCTATTTATTTCATTTTATTATTATTTTTTTCGAGGCAGGGTCTCACCATATCATCCAGGCTGATCTCGAGCTCAGGCTCCAGTGATTCTCCTGTCTCAGCCTGCTGAGTAGCTGGGATTACAGGTATGAATCATCACGCCCAGCTTCAATAACTTATGTGGTGAATTACTTATAAATCAAAGAATCCAATACATTTCTATTTCAAAGGGTAGATTTTCTTAAAACAAGGCACACCTCCATACCCCATGTCTTTTTGCCATTAAACAAGGACCATCTTAGACTGTGTGGTCTCACCTTATTGAAACTCAGTAGTGATCAGCTCTCAGGATGCCTGACTCCCGCCTGCCTACCTACCTCTTCTGGGCAGATCCTACTCATTCCAGTTTCCTCCCACTTGAACAAACAGAACGTTGCTGTGTTTTCTCACCACAAACCTAGCCCCAGTCTCTTCCGCAGCTCACTTTCCCGACCTCTCCTGCTAAGCCTGGCCCTCCTGAGTCTCTACAGCCTGCAGCAGGTCCCAAGGTCCAGATTTTCTGGGCCTTGCTGAGAAGCATCTGTCACAGCCCTGTTGGGCCCTGAAAATCAGCTCATACCTGGACAAGGTGGCAGCACTTCTCAGGAATGCAGCTCTACCTCTCTGTCGCTACCTTTTAGTAGCTAGGACTGCAGTGGACAGAGTTCCTTATGTTGTTCAGGGTTTCCGTGGACAGCAGTCTGTGTCACTCATTCTCACAGTAAGTAAGTCAGAGTGCTGCAATTCTGTAATAAAGCACAGAACACGTGATGATAGCTCTTAGCCAGGACAAGCCTGCACTCTAAAAAGTGCCACTTCCAATAAGAGGGTGAGAAGACCCTCCAAACTCAGGAGCCTGGGAGCGGCAGGACAAAGCACAACCTGTACTAGCTCCATTTTCAGTTGGGGAACCTGGCACAGGAGGGCCATGAAGAGTTCATTGTCTATGGAAATGATGGAAATCGATTGTCCCGTGTGTACCCCACCGCTCCCAAATAATTCAATCCCTGACATTAAATGTGCACTGACTCACTAGGGTAGAAAATACAAACTTACTCCATGTATATTTTCCTTGGTTTGAATGACAGGCCGAATAATGGCCCTCCAAAAATGTCCGTGTCCTAATTCCTGGAACCTGTGACTATGTTACATTACATGAGAAAAGAGACTTTGCAGACATGACTAAATTAAGGACCTTGAGAGGAGGCGATGATCCTGGACTACCCAGGTGGGCCCAGTGTAATCACAAAGGTCCTTAAAATTGGAGAATTTTCCCAACTGTGGTCAGAGGGTGGCTTGGCTGCAGAATTGTGAGAGAGATGCGGTGTTGCTGCCTTTGAAGATGCAATGGTGTTTGACTCCTTTGAGCCAAGGAGTGCGGAAACGGTAAGGAAACAGCTTCAGCCCCAGAGCCTTAAGAAGGAACGCAGCCCTGGCGACACCTGGATTTCAGCCTAGCGAGACCCATTTTGGCCTTCTGACCTCCAGAACTGTGTATTGTTCTGGAGGTTAAATCTAATGGCATAAACTATACGCATTGCTCATAAATGTGTATGGTTTATGCCTTTAAATCTGTAGTAATTTGGCCATGACAGGAAACTAATATAGTTTGGAATCACAGTTTGTTAAATTTTTGCCACGATTTATCTTACTTGAATGCTTAAATGCCTTCAACACGTTTCTGTCTCCCAGAGGATTTCTGGAAACAAATGATTCCTTTGCCTTTTAATTTTTTCTTTCTTCGGCATGTAGGCTGAGGCCTTCCTAATTCTATCCATTAAAAGGCTCTAGCAATATTATCTCAGCATACACCCCTGACGAGAACAGGCCACACAGGATGCTACATTTTCTCTCTCAGTAAGGGCGGGTGGGGGGCGTTGTGCGGGGGCAGTGAATGCATTAACCAAAGACACACTCCGGGGAAGAAGAATGAAAGGAAGATGTTTTGACCAGCTTGACTGTGGCACTTCATCCCTGGAGTTGTTCCCTAGAGTCTAAATTGCCGCTGACTGGGCAGTTTTCCTTCTAAAAGCTTCAGGATGGCTGAGTGTGCCGGCCTGGAGGAAGGCCCTAGGGAGAAGACAATAGCTATGAGAGAATCACAGCTCTCACCCCTACCACTCCCCTCCCCAGCAATGAAAAGTTCAGAAAACAACCAAATGTGTGCCTCACAAAAATGCCTAGTCAAGCAGTTGTTTCACTTCTGCCTGTTGAACATTTGGGTCGCCTGATGCAAATGTTAAAGCTGTGTTCAAACCAGAAAAAATAAAAATAATAAGCTGTCAGAATAATTACTAAGAACATGCAAGGATTCTACAAAGTAAACTGCAGCCTGCAAAAAAGAGAATTGCATGTTAGCTAATTGTTAATTTTAGCGATCGCAGTGGCTAATTACCGTGGCACACATTGACTATTAGCTTGACGCCCTAGCACCTGCTTTCTCCAATGAACAGATTTCTTCATCGCTAGCACAGGAGCAAAATGTGTAATTATTGGCCATCATTGGGGCGATTTTTCAGTGATTCTTTTGTGCGATGTGAATAAAGCATAATGACATATTTTATTAGAGGGCAAATAGCTGTTTGTTAATGGAAATGATTTGAAATCCAAAAAACTAGAAGCTAGGAGCATGTTTTCGGTATCAGCGTGAATTCAAATGTATTTTCTTTTAACTCTTTATAAAAGGAGCATAGAAATCAAATCTAAACTGAGCATAATATATTTAATGATATGTACAAACACAGCATTGATTAATTACCTCAAACGCTTTCAGTAGTACACCATTTATTTTGTTTCAGTCATGTGTTAAATTTTAGTATTTCATATTTAAATCCTTATTTCTTGGTCCGAGAGTCTTGGCAAAGCTGGCCTGCGTCACACCTCATTTTCTGAAGAACTCTCTTTTTATTGGTGTGTGTAGCACTTGCAGAGAGTGCTGTATAAATCTAGGCTTCACGGCTTCCAGAGCTGGCATGCCAGCATCACCCTGAAGAGAAAAGCATGGATTAGGTTATCAACACCCTACTTACTGTCAGCCAAGGGGTGGAGTGTACATTGTCAATAGGGTTCCCTGAGGACAAGACCGGAATTCTTGCAGCCTTGGAAATAACATTCTCTTCCTTTTCATGACAAAATTAGTAGATCATTGCTGCAAGATGCTATAGAAAAAGAAATGTCTGTTTTCACTGATAGCATATATGATCATATATGAGAGAGAGAGAGTGTGTGTGTGTGTGTAAGGGGGGGGGAATATATCTAATTGGAAACAGAACTTTCATCGACAAAGATGCAGTATAGGAAATAGGCTTTTTCCGTTCACCTCTGTTCCTGACCTGACTCTCAGACTTCTGTCTACCTCCATTTTCTTTTTTTCTTCACAATCTTTGTATTTTCATAATCCATATTCTATTCATACTAGAATAATAGTTTTAAATATAGTGCTATGAAGCTTAAGTCTAAAGTCCTCTGGAACTCTCAAATGAAAGAAACCATTTGAGAGTGGATTAATGAAGAAATAATACTAACATGATCAACATATCCCTGTTTCGATCAAGCTCAGGGAAAAAAAAAACAAAAAAACAAAACTGGTTTGAAGAGTGTTTAATTTCACTGCATCTTTAGGCCTTATTTGTATTTCTAACTCTGAACACCCTGTGCTGAATTTCTCCTAAGCCATGACACAAGAAAACGCGCCTCTTGTTCTCAGGAAAGATTAAAGGGCTGCACTTGGGATGTGTGTTTGCTGAGCTTTCGTCATTTCGTTCCACTCTTGGGTTTGGTTATGAAAGTTGTGTATTTTCAAAGGTCATTGAAAGGCAACCACCTCTGTTTTCTGAGCATGGGGAACTTGCTCCTAATGGCCAGGCTTATTGTTTTATTGCCACTGTTTACAAACAGGGAGAAACTCCCTTGAATGGGCACTTCCTTTTTTTACCACTGGCTTCCCCACTATTTTAAGATGTAGATAAGTTCAGTATTCAGGTTCACTGTTTGACCCATTAAACTGGTATTGAGGTATAATTTGTGTGTTTTCCCAGTACGGTTGCACATAGAATGGGGTTCATTTCCACACGTTTGAATAAATTTATCCAGTTCAGTGAACCTGTTGTGAAGCTCAGCAAAACTCAGTAGGTGGCTTTAAAGTCCTGTAATTAGCCCATTATAGAAAATCTGTACTTTAGATTTTTGCACATTGGTTAATAAGCATAACATGCTTCATATATAAATAACATTACATTAAATGATGCAATATAAAGGAATTAAAGGCCAATGGAGTTAAACAAAATACTTGAAAGAGACCTCAAATTAGCATGTTTAATTCCAACTCACTGCACAGGAAAAGCCGCTTGCTCTTACTGTACCAGTTCCACACAAGCTCACTATAACATGGGCCGTGCCCACAGTGCCCAGCTCTCTATACAACCTACCTGTCTTCTGTCAGCTCTATGAGCTAGGGATGGACTTACCTTTGCCTCATTTCCTCTCATTTCTGATTATGGACAAGGAGGTGAGTTGAAGGGGTAGAAGAAAATAAAAGAAAAAGTCCCACCATGGCTGTTTCATGATGCTGGCCTGAGCACTTCCTCTGATTCAGAGATAGATGGACCTGGCCAGGCACTTCCTTCTTTCGCTTGCTTTTCTCACTCAAGTCAGCTTGGCAATCATTTCAGAATGAATTGCTGTGCAAATGTCACATATGCAAGAACTTACCTTTAGGGTTTTAAATATTTTATTAGAAATTTTGCTCTCAAACCCTGTGGAATATTGCCTCACTCTGGCCTATTTGAAAAGGTGTTTTCGTCTCTCTATGGAAGGAAGTTATAGTTTCATTTAAATAGTCCCCAAATATGGTATAACAGTAAAGTTCACCTGTTCATGTGAATCCAAGAATAAGTAAACATACAGAAGAAGTTGCACTATAGTTACATAATCAATAACAGAAAATGGTTGGAGTATAACTCAGTCTACACTAGAATGTAAGGTCTATGAAGCCAGGAGCATTGGTAGTTATATTGCCTTTTTGTATTCGCCTCACTCAAAACCATTCACTCATTAATTAGTTCATCAACTATTTACAGAATACCTACTGTACCAAGCACAGCAGCAGACTTTGGAGATACAATGGTAAACTTAACCCTGTCCTAGATAAAAGAACTTGGCAAGTTGGCAATAATTCAAACACACAGAATCAACAAATGATCAATTTATGGAATCACTAATTTGCCAAAGTTACCAAATGCAATGATTTACCAAAAACATGTTTCTTTTAACTATTTGTAAAATTTGCAACAATGTATATCAGATGGTTTTAGTTGGCTAGTTGTTATTTGCTCTTTATAGCAGCATTTTAAGAAATAACTTGTCAAAACTAAGAATAATTTACTCTTCTAATAAATTTTAGTTTATATTTAATCGACAGATAATAATTGTGTGTTTTTAAGTGGTATAATGTGATATTTTGCTACATGTGTGCATTGTGGAATGATTAAATCAAGCTAATTAACATACCCATCACCTCACATACTGATCATTTTTGTGGTGATAACTTTTAAAGTCCAATCTTTAAGCAACTGTGGAAGATACAATGCATTATTATTAACTATAGCCACAGTTCCATGTAATTAGATCACTGTAGCTTATTCCTCCTATCTCCTGAAACTTTGTATCCTGTGATCAGTCCCTCCCTTTTCCTTTCCACTTCACTCCTCCCAGCTCTGATAACCACCCTTTTATGAGTTGAATATATTTTATAGTCATAAAATATTTCATATTTTTATCCAACATTAAATTATTTCCTCTAGAAATATTCAGCCTTAAACAGATTTCTTTTTAAATTCATTTACATTTTCCTCAAGTAGTTAGCAGTTATAGGATTATTTTGCTAATTTTAATTGATATTTTAAAAATTTTCATTTTAGGCCGGGCGCGGTGGCTCAAGCCTGTAATCCCAGCACTTTGGGAGGCCGAGGTGGGTGGATCACGAGGTCAAGAGATCAAGACTATCCTGGTCAACATGGTGAAACCCCGTCTCTACTAAAAGTACAGAAAAATTAGCTGGGCATGGTGGCGCGTGCCTGTAGTCCCAGCTACTCAGGAGGCTGAGGCAGGAGAATTGCCTGAACCCAGGAGGCGGAGGTTGCAGTGAGCCGAGATTGTGCCATTGCGCTCCAGCCTGGGTAACAAGAGCAAAACTCCGTCTCAAAAAAAAAAAAAAATTTTCATTTTAATTTCTGAGAGTGATATTGGCCTTAGGATATGATATTATTGTTTCATTGTTTCCCAGTTCACTCTTATTTTGCCTATGTTTTAGCATTCTTAGGATTTTAAACACATTTTTAGGATTTTAAATGCATTTTTAGGATTTTAAGCCAATAAAATCTTTTTTAGTTTTTGCAAGCTGAGTTATGGTAATATACAAATCAAATTTGAGGTTTTATTGTTCATTTCATTATGCCAATTCCTCTGATTCTCCTCACTTCTTTTATGCATTTTAAACTTGTGTGCCTTCATTTCAAATCTTTTGGTGCATTAAAACCAGGTAAAGTTATCTCAATTTCTCCTTGTTAGAAAATAAAAACTAAGCATTTCGTCTTTAGCTTCTACTTCTAGTTTCTGTCATTTTCTACGTTTTTCAAATTATAACAATAATTAGTATTATTTTCATAATTGTTCAGTGGCTGGTGGACTTAATTTTAGCCTGTAGCAATTAAAATTTTTAATTTCAGCATGACACATGGAATGAGGTTGTTTCAATTGATTTAAGAGTTTTTCCCTATCTTTCTAAACATCATTTAAAACTTCTCTTCCAGCGCTTTTATATTTTTTCACCAATACCTTGAATGGCAGATCAGCCTTGATTTTATATTCCTAATAATTAACATCCAAAATCTCTGCAATTTACATTGATTTAGTTGCTCTGAATCCTTCTTTAGGAATTTCATGCTTAGGGAAATGAATATTAGAATTGGGATACTAATCTTAAGTAGAGTTTATATTACTGATTTCTTTTTTTTTTTTTAAAGAGAAAAGTATACTAATTTAATAAAAACTCTTTCAGAAAATAGAGAAGGTGTAAATACTTCCAAGCCATTTGACGAAAACAGTGTTACATGACCAAACAAGAAGAAAACTACAGTCAAATATTTCTCCCAAACATACTCCCATACAGTACTGTAGTACTGCAGTACTGTAATACATTTTAATAAACGTAGCAAATATGATTCAATTAATATATTAAAAGACAATATAACATGATGAAATGGATTTTATAACAGGACTGCTGGGTTGCTTTAATATTCAAAAGTAAAACTATATTATGTGTGTGCAGAAGAAAGGAGACAAAAACACATAATGATCCCAATAGATCTAGAAAATTACATATGGCTAAATTCAGCATTATTTATGCTAAAAAGCTCTCTGCAAGCTAGTAGTAGAAATTCCTTAATCTGATACAGAGAATGATTTTTTTAAAAAAAAACTACCAATAACTTATTTACAGCTGAAAAGCTAATTTTATTTTTCTCTATGATTTTGCAGAAGACAGGGATTTCTGCCATTGCCTCTTCTAATCAACAATGGAAAAATCTAAACAGTTTACTAGATGGGAAAATAAATCAAACACATGCACACTGGAAAAGAAACCTAAAAGCTGTCTTTATTCTCAGACAACCTGATTGTGTACATAGAAAATCCTAATAATCCCACTATAAAGATGCCAGAAATAAAGTTTAATAAAGTCAGAGAATATGAGGTGTCTATAAAAAATAATCAGCTAAAATGTATGTGAAAATGCAAAAAAAAAAAAAGTGTTCAAATTTGAAAAAGAACAAATTTAAAGAATTTATACTCCCCTATTTCAAGATTTACTTTAAGGCTATGGCCTTATGGTTTTTATTATTGAGTAATAAATATAAACATAAATATAATTAAAAGTAGGACAAATGAAGAATTGAAAAAGGATGATATTAATTTAGCAAATAATGTTGTAGTAACAGATTCTACATTGGACCTCAAGACTCCTCCTGGTCCCTTAGATACACACCTTTGTATAATTCTCTATCCATGACTATGGCTAGGACTATTTACTTATTTCTTTGTTTACTTGTTTAGAGATGGGGTCTCACTCTGACACCCAGGCTGGTGTCCAGGGGCACAATCATCACACACTGCAGCCTCCAACTGACTCCTGAGCTCCATATCCTCCCACCTCAGCACCCTGAACAGCAGCTGGTACTACAGGCAAGCCCACAACTCACAGCTAGAGACTTTTATTATGGAAAACAAAACCCCTTCTGTAATTAATTTACTTTTATAACACAGGTGAAGAAATTTCACTGATGTAGATGTAATTCAGGTTGTAAATTGGTTTACTTTGAAGTCAGGAAACGGGATTATCTTGAGGAGACTAAGCAACACAGGTGAGCCTTTCAAAGAGACTGGACCATTGCTTTATGAAGAGATCTAATTTGGAAAGTCTGTAGCAGGGACTCTAGTGCCAGACCAAGAGCAGTGCTCAGCTGTCAGCCAGCAAAAAAGTGAGGACTTCAGTTCCACAATTCTAATGAGCTAAGTTCTGCCAACAACCTGAATGAGAATGGAGGAAGACTTTTTCTTCAGTGTAGCCTCTAGTTGAGGACGTGGCCAGCTCATACCTTGAGTTTATTCTTATGAGACTCTCAGCAGAAGACAAAGCTAAACCATGCTGAACTTCTGGCCCACAGAAACTATAAGATAATAAACATGTGTTGTTTTAAGCCACTAAGTATGTGGTAATTTGTTACACAACAATCAAAAGCTAATGTTAAAATTGAATAAAATAAATATATAAACCCATAGTAAGCATAATTCACAATAGAACGATATAAAATATACTTTTTAAAAGTCAGAAACAGAGACATAACTTTTTCCCAACACTTTGCTGGAGCTCCTATCCAGTACTGTGGATCAAGGAAAAAAAAATCAATAAAACTAAGACTTTAAAAAGAATAATTTTGTCTTTTTCTTTGCAATATAATTGTATACATGAAAACCCAAGAAAATCTGTAAATGTACAATACTACTACAAAGTTCAGCAGAGTTGCTTGATTTATGCAAGCAAGAAGCAGTTGTGAAAGTGGAATATGTTAAAACATAATGTTTAAAATCACAGTCAAGTCTATCATTTGCCTAGGGATGTATCTATATTACCTTTACGTAGAAAAAAAAGATATTAATTCATTAAAAGGCATTAAAGAAGATCCCTCAAAGTGAAAAGACGGCACAATATCATATAAATATCCATTCTTTCCAAATTGGTGTAAAACTTCATTGAAATTCTGGAAAAATTACTAACAGGTTTTTTTTTGTTGTTGAACTTGACAAAATAAATCTATGTGAAAAAGCATGAGGGCAAATATATCCAAGAAAATTGTGAAGAAAAAAATGTGTGCATACTGCCTTATCAGATTTCAAAACATCTTTTGACTATTATGAAAAATAACACAATCTACTATTGAAACAGATATAATAAATGATTGGCTAAACAGAACAACATGGGGAACTTAGAAATTAACACATGCTTTTATGAAAACTTAGTATATTACAAACATGTCATTGTATACAAATGGGCATGAGTAGACAATTTAAT